TTTTGGGGTGTTGTATATTGTGTCGCTTATCAGTTTTGTATAAATTAGAATAGATATATGCGAGAGGGCTAACATGGGTTGGTTTATGCAGAGTGTGGAGAGTTTGGAAAAAATAACTCCGCCAATTGGTACCCTAGCTTATTACATTCATCAATATTTTATTAAATATGAAATATCATTTGTATCAATATAGCCTTTAGGTGTAAGACGTATAAATATAAACATCTTTTTATTTTACAAATATACTGAAATTTAAAGATCTTAAAATGGAAAAACAAATTGAGTCCCAGTCCGAAGTTAATGACGCTAATAAGACTGAAACTTACCAGGATATCCCGATATCCACTGGTAGACTTAGTGCTAATTATGTTAAACATGAGGAAACTGGAGCTGGCTCATTTGGAACGGTATATAGAGTTCACCAAAAGTTATTCAATCAACCATTTTCTGTGAAAGAAATTAATTTGAAAAATGAAAAGGATCTTGCAAAAAATGTCCAGAAATTAGCAGTTTGGTTTCAATTGCAATCGGAATATGTCGTAAAGTATAGAAACCATTGGTTTGAGAAAAATCCCGATACTTTCTTAACATTATACATTTTGATGGACTTATGTGACCACAACCTCCGGCATTTGCTAACAGCTAAAGCAAAACGTTATAATCGACAAGACGATACCACCAGGATAGGCGATTGGGAGTATTTAATATCCTACTATTTGTATCAGGAAATCTTAATTGGAGTAGATTATCTACATAAACATAAACCTAAAATAATTCATAGTAACCTTAAACCATCAAATATTCTAGTTTCATACACGCATGATAAATTAATGATTAAACTTGGTGATTTCGGTTTAACTACGAATCATGAACATGACCAAACTAACACTGCAATACTAGGACCACCGAAATATGTATCACCAGAAATACGTCGTGGTCGCAAATATACCAGCAAGGCCGATATGTATAGCATGGGCGTGATATGCGAGGAGATATTTCAAATTGAATCACTGAGGTAATTTTGAAATATTAAAATAGACTACTTTATTTAGAAGATTCCAGGTGTATATTATTACACTGAAAAAACATTTGTCTTACAGTATAGTTAACTTTACATTACCAACTAACATTAACATTATACTGTACAATGATTTAGATAAGATATATTATAATTTTTAGAGGATTAGAAAATAGGCTTAATTAAAAATTTAAGTAAATACATCAAATTAAAATTTATCAAAGGATGCTCAACGAATATTGAAACTTTTTAAATTGCAATTACTTAATAAATACAAATAACATTTTATTCTAATAAAATTTAGAAAAATATTAAATATATGAGGATTTGTTATTTAAAATTTTTAACTTTAAAATGAAACCTAGGACAGAGAGATTTTCATAATTGACAAATATGGAATATTCCTTAAATCTTATTAAAGACTGAAATCTTTCCAAAAAATTAACTAGAATGACATTTGAAATAATGAAATAGTAAAATATCTAAAAACAAGGTTTGCAAGCAATGCTATAGAAACCCAGATTTACAGTTAAGCTAATATAGAATAGATTATATTGTAATTAATTATAGATATTTATCCTTAATCAATAAAATCTATAAACTTATGCTCAATAGAATGTGCAAGATAGGGGAGGATTTGAAAGGATAATGCAAGATAGGGGGAGCAGGATAGAGTTGGGCTTGATAGGAGAATGCTAGATAGGGGAGGGCAGTAAAGGAAAAGGTTGAAAATAAAAGCGCAATTTTCCACACTCTCATAGACTTAACATGGGGTTTAGTAAGGTATTTAGCACTTTTGAGCTATTTTAGCATTTTCAAGAAATTTTGAAAATTTTCAAACCATTGTTGTGGAACTTATCATGGTACTTTTGTGCACTTTGGTCGTACATTGTCGACCACATGTCCCTCAATGTCCATTTGTCGCTTAACGCTATGGGATTTTTTGTTCCGCAACTGATATTTTTTGACACACCCGTCATGCACCATAATTATACACCTTTTCCCATAGGATTAACATGGGCTAGAAAACTGCGTCATTGCGTCATCGGAAACACTTTTGCCCACTTTTGCTGGGATTTTCCATAGGAAAAACAAAGTCCTTAACGGCTAAACTGTCAAAAACCCCATGCTAAACCTATGGAATTGTGTTAAAGTGCGTCATTAGCGTCATTAATGACGGAGTGGGGGAGGTGGGAGAAGGGGAGGTGGTACAGAGTGATTTGATAACCCACTCTTTTACTACGTAAATGTGGGTAAAAACTGCAATGGGACATTTCAAATAAATGATCACAATAAAATTAATAAAATTGACTTATAATGAGTTTTAAAGTTAGATTTGATTTGATTTTGAACCAATTTTAAAACGTTTATACTACTATTATATTAAATAATTATTATTATATTTGTTTTAATTATCTTATATCATAGCGATGATATTGTTGAAGGAAAAGATCTGAAACTAAAGCAATTCATCAGGCAACTTTCAGATGAATTGCCTCACAACAGACTTACTAGCACACAGGCTTTAGAAAAGTACAGTGACTTGAAAATTGATACAACATTTGCATTGAAGGAATATATTGAAAAGGATAGCAAGCTCGATTATGTCATACTATTAAAAGTGATGGAGATGCAGGACATGCCACTTTCATATTTGGATAGAAATAAATTTGATTATTACAAAGATAAAGATATGTTGAAAGACATTGGCAACGATATACTCACTAATAAAAACAAAATTGATGAATTTGAAAAAATCACACTGATTCATGATGGTGGTTTTGGAAAATGTGTCTATAGTGCCGAACATAAGTATGTTGGCAGTAAATTTGCTCTCAAGAGAATTCCATTTGATGGTAAATATAATTGCTAGAATTTATTTTAAAATTATTTTCACATAATATTATAATAAGTTATTGTCTATAACAATTTAATTAGTAATCATTTAAACACAGATCATTAACCATTAATCTAATATTATATTACAGTAGTTCAAATATAAACATATTGTAATTAATTAAAATATTCATATAATTATATTTATGATGTTTATACATCCCTAGATATCGATAAATTTAAATCGGGTATCAGGGAACTCAGTGTTTGGGCGCAAATGGATTCGGACAATTTTGTACAATATAGACACCATTGGTTTGCAAACGAAAACATGCCTGATAATAAACCTGCAATTATGTTATACATACTAACGGATTTGTGCTGGTTTTCATTGGACAATGTAATTAACTACAATTTCGAACATTTCAGACTAGGGCATGCAAATTTGCTGGTACCAATAGCATTTTACATATCTTCAGAATTATTTATTGAAATTCTTGAGGCAATAAACTATTTGCACTCAAAATCTAAACCAATAAAGCACCGTAGTATACAACCAAGCAATATACTAATCAAGCACCATGCTCATGGACGTTTCGTAAAATTAGCCGATTTTGGTCTAGCTATTGAACATCAAACTGAGTCCCAGTCCCATACACAGTTCCCTAACGCGGGTAAGTATATGGCACCTGAGGTCAAGCAGAGTCGCAAATATGGCCTATCATCAGATGTTTACAGCATTGGCGTTTTGGCACAGGATCTATTTAACTTCGATATTAATAAGTTTGAGTAAGTTAAAAATTATTATTAGTCAAATATATTAAGTAAAATTTATTTAAAATAGCAAAATACAAAATGAGTATAAAAACTTATACGTTAATTTGGTGCCAATAATAACTAAATGCCTAAATGGACTAGTCACAGCGAGGGGTTCAATTAAAGAAATTCTTGAAAATAAATCAACATGGGCATTAAAATATGGAGATGTTCGGGGTGAATTAATAAAAGTTATCGACGTGAACGGACAATATGATCATGAAAAATCATTTATTGAATACTTTCTATTGACAAAATTTATGTTAAATGATCCTACAGAAAAAACTACAGATTCGTCCAGAATCAATAATGAACCTGAATTAACCGAGGAGACATTTATAACAGGGAAATTTAACAATGATTTCATATTGGATACTACTAAGACATATGAAAATGGTAGACATGGAAAATTGTACAAGGTCAAATCAAAACATAATAATACAGATTATGTAATTAAAAATGTCAACCTAAAGGGTATGTTCATAAATAATATGATATTCAACTCCTTAATTAATATATTTTGTATTATGTAGGTGAACATGATTTAAAATTAAAAATCCAATCACTTACTATCTGGATGAATTTGAACCACGATTATTTCGTCCAATACATAGCACACTGGGTTGAGTCAAATGAATACAAACAGTATTCCCTTTACATTCAACAGGAATTGTGCTGGCTATCATTGGACGATGTCATAACACAAATGATTAAGCATTTTGCTGTTAAACCAAAACAATTATTCCCAACATTGGGCTATTATATAGCATCGGAATTACTAATTGAAATTTTGAACGCGATCAATTATCTACATAGTCATAACCTCCCAATAATTCACCGAGATATAAAACCACAAAATATTTTGATAAAGGAGCATGCACAGGGCTTTGTTAAAATATCAGATTTCGGACTTGCCGTTTTCCATGATCCTAAGTCCCTGTCCCATTCCCAGGGCAGGGGCACTGAGAGGTATATGTCACCTGAGGTTAAAAGTGGGCGCCGGTATAGTCCCAGTGCTGATGTCTACAGCCTGGGCGTTGTTATACAAGAAATGTTTAATTTTGATATAAATACTATTGGGTTAGTAATTTATCTATAATTTGTTTATAAATAATATGCAAATATAATTGATTATAATTAAATTTTTAATAATTTCTACTATATTCAGAAAATTTAAAACAAATTCAATGTTTGATGCCATAGAAGAGGTCAGCAGCGATTGCTTGAAAGGTATGGCCAGTCAACCACTCACTTGTCAACATATATTGGATAATAGCGACCAATGGCTTCTACCTACCGATGAGGTGCAAAATCTCATTGCTAACAATGGGCACCAAAACAATAATTACGATCCACTTACTTATTTTGTGGATTATTTTTTGAATTGTAAACAATAATTACACTAAAATGAATAATATCTGAGAAAGAAAAATAATTGAGGCTAGTAAAAATGATTACTACACTTTCAAATGTTAGCAATATTGAAAGATAAAAGTTAAGCATTTTAGCCAGTATCAATTTGTTCTAATTTCATTAAATAACAATGCACAAAATTTATTTATCCATTTTGACTATAAACAATAGAATGATGAAACCTATTGGAGAAAATTGTCATCATTAATTATTATATATAATATCGAATACTATTTTAAATTTTTTTTACTCATTATTTTAATATATATAGTACACAAATGAACCTTAATTTAAACCTTGATAGAAGTTATAAATCATCGTTTTAACTACTTGATAAAATTAAGTTTAAATGTGTTTAAATTATAATTATAAAATTAAATATATTTTATAGTAATTTTAATAATTATTCAATAATTAACCAAAAAACAGTCTATTGCATTAAGTTCCAAAAGTTAAAATCATAGAAATAGGGATGATAAACTAATAGTCTAATCATCTATACTTGATAAACTTATAAATTTTTAAGAGCCTTCGTTATTTATGTCATAATAAACTTAATAGACATTTAAAATTACTAATACAT